AACTTTCCAGATCCGCTGCCGCCACTCGTCACGCATGGAGAGGTACCGTTCGTGACATCATTGAGATCGGCTAGATGAGGCATGATCACAGCCGTAACAAGTACAAGTACAAGAGGGACTCCGATAGTAAGACAACAGAAAAGGCTTTTTGTCAAAGACGCATTATGACACCTGTTCTGCACTCGACATGGTCTCGTATTGTCTTAACTCATCTTGACCACTCGTGGAGGCTAATCGGAAATAAGTTTGGTTACCGAGATGCTAGGCAGACGGCTAAGTTGATTCAGAAAAAGAAGAGAACTGCAAAATGACTGAGTGGTGCTTTGTAAGTCCTGTGCTGAAATTTAATTAACTCACTGATAATTCCTGTCACCAAAGTGGGCACTTTTCGTCCACCATATAAAACAGCATTTGTGTAATTTCTAACTTTGCTCCTGACATTTCTGGCTAGAACCGGTGAACGTTCGTCTGCGGGACCAACAACACACTGCAATCATTTTCATTCGTAACTTTTCATATTGTACAGCAATGTAATGCTTCGAAATACTTTTATAAATTCATATCTTGCTCAAAGGACTTGCTTGAGAGAATGTGATGTTACTAAGTCATCCACAATCATTTAATTGTCACATTTCTACTCGCAGGGATGGATCGAGCCGCCAAAGCGTGAACGTAAAGCCAACTACGCTGTTGATGCCTATTTCCGAGAGGCCCTACGTGTCTCTGAACCGAAAGCACCCAAGCCCCCCAGACCGCCGAAACAACCCAATATCCAGGACTTTCAGTTCTTCCCTCCACGGCTTTTCGAGCTCCTCGACAAGGAAATCTACGCTTACAGGTAGGGTGCACCTGTTTATGTTTGTACAACCTCCCATTCGACTATTCCGTTAAGTAGCAACTTAACATACCCTCATTCGTCTGGTTTACTTTTTTGGTCACTCACATTTGCTCTTCGGTTGTCAACATCAGCGCGTCTGGATGTTCATACGACCGTTGTTGAAGATTTTTAGCAACTTTATTATTTAAATAATATAAACACTGCGGCCATCCTTTTGGTTTAAGTTCTTAAGAGCTCTTGATTCGGGACCTAATTAGTTGAGCTCGTCCGAGACACAAACCCCCGTAGACTACATGTGAATCTGGTCGAAAGCGATCTACCCAGAAACATGTCACGTTAAGAAGTGTTAAATACTACTTAAGAGAAATTAT